CTAACTCCTGCGTGTCAATATCCATTTTAGGCTCCGGTAATCCGAAGATGTCAAAGAAGTTCCAGTGCGGATTAAGTTTTTGGATTTTCCCACACGAACAGAAAAAGTTCTGGCAGTCTACTGGTCGTGAGCAATTCCAACAGACGCGACCGCAGTCATGCTTCGGAGGCGATGTAGTCGAAAAATATCGAAGGCTGTGGATAAGAGCATCTTGTGGAACTAGCGGAGAATGGAAAAACGGTCTTGTAAACTGCAATATTCCTCTCCTTAGAAATGACATCATACGGAAGAAGGAGTACAACGACTCTGTTGGAAGTAATCCGGCCTTGGTGAAAGAAACATATTGAATTAGACATGTATGATGGAGGAAGACGCGGACAAAAATACAATGACGAAAAATGATCGAAAAAAGATAGTTGAATGCATTTAACACTCAAAGAGGCTTATTTCAGTAAACTGTGGCAATTTAGCTAATCGCAAAGTACACCACAAGGAGGCGAATTCGGTGTTCTTTTCCGGCTAAAAGGGTAGTTTGCGCCCTCCACCGCCACTAATGGCCGCACGTGGAAGTATAATTCGTGATAAAATATATTGGAGAGAATAAAAGTGATTTAAACTGTTCTGAGTACTAGTAACAAGTGCTAGTTTAATTATTTCCGAGCTCACGTGGGTAAGAAGTGGAATATTTAAATGTGAACAGCTAGTATCGCGGAGGAATTAAAAATGGAATTTTAACAGAAAGTAATAGCATGAACTAGTTGTCGCCTTGTCCGCTGGACGTCAGATATGTTACCACACTGTATAGTAACGACGCCAAACGCCTTGAGTTTTTTTCACAATTGGGTCAACTCAAATTAGTAGAAACTGACAACCATGTGCATAGAAGTGAGGGGGCAGAAACAAAGACAGGCCTTTTGGTGCTCCGGGCCTGAAACATGTATTTACTCGGAATAGCATAAACCCAGATTCATACTCCTTGTTGCGGTCGAGGGGACATGAGCTCCAGCGTTTACTTTAATCAGCGTCACCTCTGACCAATATTAACTTCAGCAATAACACCAGTACTATCACCCAGGTGCATTGCTAATTAGTAGCAGTAGTAGAAGTCGCGGTCTCCTTCAGTCTGTTTTGACACCTATTGAAGGCGAGAGACTAAGTAGTGTGGTAGTACCAAAGCAAAATTTTCCTGTCAATTAAGACTAATTTACGCTGTGTTCTGGCTTTGATTGGA